ATGCAGCTCAGACAGCTGGTAGTTTGCATAGGTTTGCATAGACAGCTCCATAACTGAAGTACCATGTGCTCCAGGTGAGCTGTCTGCAGAGACCCTGCTACTGAAAAGTAAGTCTCAGGACTGAGTCTGGACATTTTTCTCTTTGTGTAAACACAAAAGCATGATCAGTTCAGCTTGGCTCACTTGTCTTTTTTGTACTGGTTAAATTACTCACTAGCCTAATAGTGGCTTTGCTTCATCCATTACCCTAATATTTCTTTAATTAATTCAATTTAAATAAGAAACCAATCACATCTGGTGCACAATTTACTGAATGATAGAGAATTGTGGCTGCTCAGAAGCTCACAGTCTGACATTAACTCTAGATCAGTTCTCAATAGACTTCTCTGCATCCACAACATGACAGCTGCCTTCAGAGTGGCCAGAGGAATGAAAAAAAAAATTAATGCTTATTTATCTTATTTAAATAACTCATGTGTTATAAACAAACTAGTAAGCACACCTCAGCCAGGCATGGAGAATTTATAAATCAGTGTAAAGAGCTCTCTTGCTCCGATAGTCAATAGGCATATATTGATTTGCATTTTTCATTGATCAGACTTGCCTGCATGAGATTAACCCCTTACAATTATCTTATATTTGAAAAGTGAATTTGACTAATTTCTTTACAGCACAGGATAACTTTTAATAGGACACAATAACCTGGCATCCTGGGTCCTTTCAAACAATGGATTTCACTATGGAAGGTCACATAATACTTTTTCCAGGAATAACCTGGGATTTTTTCAAGTTGGATAAATTCCAGCTCTAGTAACTACACTTTGCCTTCCCCAGTTTCCCCAAAGGTCCAATTAATTCAGGCATTCTTAGCATAAAACTGTTACGCGCTGCTACTGTACATGACTAGACAGCTGCTGCACTTCCCTCCAGTGACAAATACATCTCAGTGGTGTGTGAGCTGATTCCCTCCCACCACTCTGATGTGGTGTGCCTGAATGACTCCAGTTCTCACAGTCCTCCAAGAAAAAGCACACTGGTAATACACATTTTTATCATGGTCTTCCTAGACCTGCTAATCTTAATCATCCTTCTTTGTCCTGCTGGTTAAATTCACTCCTGGATCTTAAACTCCCATAGGTGGGGAGGGTCTCAGATCAGGGGATGTGCCAGGTGCACTGGCAGGCTGTACTCACATAGCACATGTTGTTTTGAATACCTGAGAAGGCACCCCCACTGAGGTAATTAGTTACCTCCCCATTGCCTAACAGGCCCGTGACACCTGTGTTGGCTGATGTTTATCTGTAGTTAAAGAAAAGTTTAAAATCTCAGACAGCGAGTGGAGATAGAAAGCCCATAGCTGCAGTGGTGCCTGTTCTGCTTTTCCTTTTGAATGTGTTTTTGCATCTGTTTTTTTTTCACCAGGTCTCAGTCCAGTCCTGGCAGCAAGAGCATGTTGCTTTGAGGCCCACTGGTCCCTAGCTCTAATGGGCTGGTGTGACTTCTGTGGATTGTAAAATCAGCTGCAGTGCTCATGTCTGACCCTTGCTGCCAGACTGCAGCCGGCTGTCACATCAGAGTCTCAGAGCTTCTGAATAGGGGGCTTTCCTGGCCTTCAGAAAACTTGCCCCTGTCATAATCACTGAGGTAGTGAGGATGTTTCAACACCAGGCTTGAAAGCAGTGGCCTCTTGCTTCTGTAGTTCTGCTCAAAAGCAATGTGAGGCCCCAAAGGTAACCCCTGGCTACACCACCTTGGAGGGACCTCTGCCCTACTGGAGCAGCAGCTAAAAGCAACAGGGCTACAATGAGAGAGGGTCTCACAGAAAGAATGCTGAATATGACAAAGATGAGAAGGGGGCAGCTTCTCTACTATGTGCTTTGCTCTTTGACCTTCAGGGATCCTCTTGGACATGTTGTAGGATTTCCAGTTGTGTCAACTCCTAGCATACACATCCAGGGGACAAATTATTTGTGGAGTTGCTGTGAGATGGGATAATGCACACTTCTGTCTCATCTGCACCTGTGGTTGCATTTACCTTTCAGCCCACAAGGGTCTCGGTTCAGCTTGCATTGCTTGAGGGGTAGAATTTCAGCTGGCAGCTTCTGGGTCAGGCTAGTGCTGGCAGGTGGAGTAGCTCTGGGAAGGAGGTTCTTCAGTGATGGGTGTCCTACATCAGTCTGTCTCTGGTGTCTGTCAAGGTTTTCACTCAGTGCCGATTTACAGCTTCCTTCCTGCATGGCTGTCAGGGGTAGATGTCATTGTACCAGACCCCTCTTCCGAGTGTGACATTGGCATCCTCTGACCATGACATGAAGCACTGGGAAGGCTGCAGCAAGGAGGTGGCATGTGCCTGCCTTTACTGCATGTGCTACCAGAGTCAGCCAGCTCACATTTCATCTGAGCTCAATCTGCAGATGAACACATTCAGTACACATCCTTCCTGGGGAAAGGCTGTCATCACTGAAACTTTGCTTCTTCCAAGCCCATTAGCTTCCAAGATGTGGCATGGAGTGTAGAGAGTAAGTTAAAGGATTAGGAAAACACATTTCACTTCACATGTGTAATTAGGCAAATTGACATTCTACAGAGTGGGATGGGGAAGAGACTGGAAAGGGTAAGAGTGAAAAAAAAAACCATGGTGAGAGGGACTGATTTGATTTTTATTTATGCCTCAAGATGTGGTATATATGAGGTGAAACATTACTGTAAGGACTGCACACGGGTTGGGAGCCCTGTCCCGGGGAGCCTTTGCCTGGCAGCCGCTCAGGCCAGACGAAGCTTCCACGGTCCGGCTGCGAGCGACCCCCGCTTGCTGGGGGTGATGATGATGATGATGATGATGATGATGATGCCCGGGTGCCTGGCAAAAAACGCCTGGGAAATGGGGCTGTGGGAGGAGCTTTAGCACATCAAAGCAATGAACTGCGACACGACCATTTTGCTTTGTGTTTCTTGGAGGGATCAGGGGCTCGCCCGGAGGCTCAGCCCGGCCCTCCTCCCCCCGCGCCCCTCCCTCGCTGTCCGCGCTGTCTCGCCGGGCTCCGCCGCTTCCCGAGCAGGACAGACAGACACCCCGTGCCGCGCAGCCCGGCCCGGCCCGGCCCGGCCCGCCGCGGGCACACGGGGCTGCCCCGCTCGGGAACCGCGCCCGGCCGCTCCCGGAGCTGCGCGGGCTCGGCCGCCGCTCGCAGCTGCCCGCTCCGTCTGCCCGGCTGATGCTGAGCGGGCGAGCCGCCGCAGCGACCTGTGCCCGCCTGCTGCTCCTCGCTCCCTCTCTCTTTTCTCCTCCCTGCTCGCTTTTCTGTCCCGCTTCGGTAGGAGCACTTACCCTTCTTTATCAACAAACAGTTCTCAGATATAATATTGCTGCCTTTGTGCTTTATTTTCATCTGAGAGTCTATCAATAGGAATTCTCCCCAACTCCTCTTTTACAACGGGATGGGGCATTCATACACCCTGTTTGCAAGGTCAGACTATAGGGATGATATATACCCAAGTACCATATGTCTCCAAGAAGGGCTCATATTCTAATTTACCTTATTACCATACAGTCACATTTACCATTATCAGTCACACAAATGAGGATGCCATGGTCGTGACAGTATGCAGAGTTCAGCTGATCTCTCTGTGCTGCTTCCAACTTTTATATTATTTGCATTGCAAAGGCCTGTGGACTACATTTTACACGAAATTTGCAGCTGAATGTATTTGCTCATTACCATCCCATCACCTGTTTCTTTCAAGAAGAAAGCTCATAACTTCAAATGAACGACCCCTGCCTTGGTAAAGCTGGGCTGTCTTCTCTACAGAGAGACACTGTTTGAGTGTTTCACCTCAAGAGAACTAAAATAAGCAATGCTCCCATTTCAGTCCTTCTTTTCATTCCTGGTCTGATAGATGTTACCTATGAGGAGTTACCTGTTCAAAATATGACAATTCAAAAGGTAGTCAATTAAGCCAATATCCCTAGCTTAAGGCAATGCAACATCAGGCCTTAGCTTTATTTACTGCAACTAGAAGGGTTTTTCATCAGGAAATAGTGGAGGGATTTAGCCTAGTGACAAAGGTGTCAGCAATAAACCCCTCCTCAAATAACAGCATTTCATTAGGCCTGATCTCAGGTTTCAAGGAGGTCTGATAGAACTGTTGTTAGAGCCATCTGTAAAAGTAACACTGAGATAGCTAAATTTTTTGGGGAGTGCAAAAGATAGCAAACACTCCATGGAGTTTATGGTCTTATGTAGAACAGCTGCAAAAACAAGCAAAGGAAAATACAGTTGTGGCTGTTTCCCTGAGGAGGAGCTGAGGAGATGAACTGGTAAATAAGTTGTCTGTGCTCACAGGCAAGGTGAGAGCTGCTGATTGACCACAGCCCTCCTGTGATGACACAGCATCTCCCAAGCCAGACAGGGTTTTAAAGAGCCTTTTAAAATGCAGCTAACATATAATTTCTATTAAAGACTTCTGAAACTGTACTGTAACACAGACACAGCTGTGATGGGAACTGTGGGCTGCAAATGGATGACAATGGAGAACTGTAGAGATTAACAGAAAATAAAACCTGTGGTGTCACATTGTAATGTCCCAGATTAAAAGACAATAAGTCTGATATTTAAAAATCTGAGCAAGATGGACAGTGAACAACCCTGCTCTGAAGGGTAGGATAGGAAGGGAGACAGTTCCACTGGGCAGGCAATGGCAAACTGCCCTCTTCAAGATGAAGCAAGTCAGCAGAGGGGATATTTTTTCCATCCACCTTAGTCTGTCCAGTACAAGTGACCACATGGGGACATCAGCAACGCATAGATGATTGATTTGTATTTTTCCTGACAGTTTGTTTCTTTCTGAGTGGTCCATTAATTTTGGCTTCAGGCAAAAAAAAAATCCAATGCAAAACCAAACAACAACCAACCAAAAAACTTGCGTAGGGAATTTTGGTTTTGGATAAAAAGAAATGTTTTACAATAAATAGTAGGACAGACTTACAAATTCAGAAACAATTTTCATTACTATTCCAGATATAATGAGATTTATTAATATGTATTAGGACAAAGTCTGTGTACAAATATGTAATTTAATATGCTTTATAAAATGGTTGTATCTCAAACCACTAACTTTACATTTGAATGGGTAGAAAAGATAATTTGCAATTTCCTGAAATACTAAAAGCTCAGAAAACCATGCTTTCTTAAGACAGATATTGGTAGACTGGAATAAACTGGCTGTGTTTTCTGTGCAAGATTCACCCACAGATAGTCTATGAGTAAGTCAATACCACTATCAATTTTTCTTAATTAGGAGGCTTTTACCCAAGAGGAAGAAAGAAGCATAACTACATCTCAGAACTACTTTGCTCATGCTTCAGCCTGCTGCTGGCCAATTTATCTTTTTCAGCCACAGCTCTAAACAGCTTCTGGGAAAAGAGCTCATTTGAAGAGTACATACTTCTAGTTTTGGAAACAATTGTAAAAATAGCTTAGTAGGAATCTTATTAATAAGCGTATGTTCTTTTAGTGCTTCCTCAGGGTCAAGCATAACTCATCTATGTTGTTTTTTGCTATTTAAGTTAGATAATGAAACTGTAAGTGATGGTTTAGAAATCTGTATAAAACTTCTGTGCTGAATTAAGTGGGAAATATCAATTGCCATATAGAACTAAGTTACTATTACTTTTAGAAGACAGGAAACTGTGCCTGCAGCCTGCTGATAATTTACATGTTCACAGCCATATTTTTCACTAAAAGAAATGCTTTTTTTCCCTGCTGTGTTGTGTGAAAAGCCCAAATGAAAAAAAAAAAAAAAAATTGATGTCATGCATGTGAATGTAGAGAGCTGTCAAATCAGGCACACAACCTCATCCCTCCCAGGGAACAAAATGCAAAGTAGAGACTTGTAAAACCACTTGCCCTTTAGAAAACGAGACCATACCTACCAAGCTAAAGTTTGACTCTCTTTCCTGGCACAACTAGCTCAGCAGACACAAAGTCATGCCTTTGAAAAAAAAGTAGAAAAAAGCTTGTTTCTTCCTTTGCTACATTTATAATAAGTTCAAGCACAACTTGCTACAAGTTGAAAGTGAGAAACTCAAATTGAAGTCGGGTTTTTGCTAAGTTCACAAAATGTTCCTTTGAAAATAGTAAAGTAAAAGTTTTGAAGTGCAAGTTAAGAAAGACATAGGCAGCACTCTCTTACTCTACAGTGTAAAAATGGTGTTTTAATGTTATCAAAAGCCTAGAATGAGGCTTTCAAGCAGCATAAAGAACTAACACACAATTAAAAGACAGGAGATAACACCTGTTTTATATTCCATATTTACAAATCTGTAATTATTTTAACAATTTCATTCTCTTCTCATGCCTGCATGGATAATTTGAATTACTCTAGTATGAAACTGATTAGGCCAACATATGAGAACCTAGATAGATATTTTCTCTCTACAGACATCCAAGAATTAGATATCTAGCTTAAATTGTCCAACTAGGCTTTCATCCTAGGCCATCTAGTTTTTGCTGAAAGATTGGTGTCTTGGTTTTCATCCATGGGCCAGATGCATCAATTAATTATTACTCCATGCTCTGTTCCCAAATTTCTTCTGGGTGCTTTAAGAATGTGAATCAGGTATAAATCAGCAATGCACTTACTGCCTGCTTGAGAGTACAAACATCTAAGGGGAAAAGCTGCAAGGGGTTTTGCTATGCCATAGCAACACTAACTCCAAAATGCATCGTGACATCAGCTTAAGCAGTTTAAGGTGGAAAAAAGTATGTAACCACTGCCTGAATTTGGGACATTATCTGTATTTTTTCTCCCTGAAAGTGCCCAGCCTTTTGCCACATACACAAGGTGTTTCTGACAGGCAAAGATCACAAACTCTTTGCATAGACTCAGAGCAGACGTTTTGCCTTCTGAAGCAAAAACTTTTATCAAAAAAGTAACCTGAATTAATGGATTTTTCATAAGGGGCATATGGCAGAGAGATGCCACAGGGATGATGCATGCTTAAAACCATTGAGCATCTCATCTGCTTGCCGCTCTTCATCGTTCCATAGCTTCCAAAATGTGCAAAACTAATCTAACTAATGCTAAATTACAGCTTTTATTAAACAGAATGAAGAGAACAACATGGAATTAACCTGTGCATGGAGTAAGACATTTTTACCATTCATGTATAAAGCCTTTCAATTTTCAGAAAACCATGTGGAATATGAAGTATAACCAGGAAGTTATCTCTACAGCTGGCCTTCTTGACTTGTTTCTGGTGTGTAACTATAAATCAGTCACATACTTTATATTCTCCTAGTGACATTGATAATAGCTACTTGAAACAAAGCTGTCTAAATGCTTCAAAATTATCAGGTGAGCTTCAGTAAAAAAGTTCCCAATTACTTACAGTGAGAACAAGGAAACAAAAGATTGAGAAGGTAATTTTCACCATTAACAAGGCACAACATAATCCAACACACTTCAAGTATCTACAAAAGTGTATATTATCAAGTATGTTCCATTTCCTGGACAGAGTCTCAACTGACAATGCAAAAATCAATACTCTTGATTTATTTTTCCCTTTCATCAGGGTCTTCTGATGATACAGGAGGAGTGCAACTTGAACAGAAAGGCATCTTGTTAGCTTTTAAGTCTCATCTCACACATCTCTCTCCCAACACTGACTCAGGATCATTCCACTCTCAAGTCCTCCAGTGTACACAAGAAGTTCCATGTTGGCTTTTCCTGTGCCAGGACAGATCTAACATAAGAAAGAAATGTCAGGAATGCTTATCTGGGAGTGAAGTGCATTTCCCACAGATCATTCCTAAAGGGAAGCTGGCATGTGAAGTATGTATCTAAATAAAATGTGTGAGGACACAGGAGTGAGGAAATAGGCAAACTTCATGCAAGGTAGAGTTTTCTGCTCTCCCGAGAAGATCAATACTGAAAAAAACTTTGATTGTGTTTGTCCTGAAAACTGGGCAGTATCCCCTATTGTCCTCATGAATCAAAGAATTAATAAAATAGTATTTAAGCAGCATTTTCTACCTCTGCCTGTAGAAAAGATGCTTTCCAATGGCTTAGCCCTTCTTGTTAAGCTAATGTTCCAGGCTGCACTGTCTGCCAGACTAGGGAACTTGATTTGGAACAATGAGATCCAGTCATGCAGTGAGGAGATTAACTCACATCCGTTGTAACACCTTTTCAGGCAACTCATTAAATCAGTCTGGCTGTGAAGTCCAGCAACTTGATGGCATTAATCTAATGTCTCATCCCAGCCCCGAGGTTATCAGTGGACAGCTGTAATTACAATTGATTGAAAAGACATTTTCACAGAGGAGTTTCTGTTTCCTGGAATTCAGGCATTTCAGAATATTTTTCCTGTGTTGCCCAGCCCAGTCATTCCAATCTTATTATCTCCAGGCAGGCATATGCAGCTTTTTAGTAACTTGAAATCAAGGTATGAAATTGGCAATATTCTGATGACAGGCAAGCAACAAAGTTAAGCTCTAAAGACAAGCTCACATGGCCTTTAAAGGCACTGTATCTACCTTCTGCAACCTCCTACATCCTCCCCATATGTTGGGGAATGTGGTGAGAAGCTCCTGCTTGGGTCACTGTCACTCCAGCTGTGACACTGCACTGGTCGCTGTTTCTTGACATCTTCCCTTTTCTCTTCCTTGATGGACTCCTCAGAGTCTGAGGACAGCTCAACCACTTCTGGGGTCCTCTCAGCTAGCGGCTTAACGTACCCAACAATGACACAATTGTCTGAGGAAGAGCCGCTGTCGTTTGAGTCAGCATTGGCCTGTAACTCAGTCTGCAGCTTGGTTCTTCGGCTCCCTGAAGCAGAGTCCTCGTCAGAACTTTCTGATGACTCCAGAGGAGAAGCTATGGTTGCACGAACCTCTTCTGAAATGGAATAGGAAGGCCCCGGAGTTTCGTCATCCCACGGGGCCTGACCAAGGCCAGGAACAGACAAACTATGATCCGGCCCTTGCGGGTACGCCACATCTGGAGATATTGTGATAATTGATGAGTCTGAGTGGCTTCCTTCCTCATACGACGGTGCAGGACAGTCATAATTGGCGTGTTGATCGTATGATTCTAAGTTAAAAGGACAACGAGCAAAACTGATGAATTCGTGCAGGAAGTGCTCTGTCCGATTCAGCAGAAAGGGCTTCAGATCGTCAGCAAAGGCCTGGCTTTCCAGATCGTACCTGGTTACGTTACTCATGATGATGTGCTGCACAATATTGATCAGAGACCCGTGGGCACCAAACAGGACCGTAAGCTCTCGCTTCAGCCAAGGAACCAGGCGGTGAAGGCAAGCAGGGTTGCGCCGGAAGAACTCGGCCGAAATCTCTCGGTATCGGCCGCCGTCCTGGATGCTGCGGATGCGCACGCCGGTGCGGTACAGAGCCCTGCGGAAGGTGATCATGTCCTCCTCCTGAATCTGACGCAGAGATCTGCCCTCCGCGCTGGCCTTCCTCCTCGAGGCCAGCCTCCTGAGCATCTGCTCAATCTCTCTGTGCCTGTGTCGCGCCGGCTCGCTCGACAGCCCTTCAAACAACATCCCGTTATCCGGAGGGGACGCCACCCTTCGGGAAGGGGAACCGCGCCTGCGGCGTTCCCTCGTTAAGGTGGTGCGGTAACGAAACCTCCGGCCATCGGGGCTGGCAAAAGAGCTTGTTTCTAAAGGGCTCAGGATGTACTCCTTGAAGTCATCTTCAGCACGAATCGTATGGAAAATGGAAAAGAAGGGTTGCTTGCACAGCGGGCATTCTGCTTTGTTCTTGGACCACTCTTGGACGCAGCGGAAGCAGAACCTGTGCAAGCAGCGATCCAGATACGCCACATTGTCAAATCTGTCCAGGCAGATGGGGCACTTGGAGTCAGGAGACGCATCGGTCGGCAGCTTACTGGTGCTGGCTTTCGAAGAAAAATTGCTATCTTCTGCAATCTCTCAGCTAACAGAAAGCACCTAGTACCTCCCACATTTTAGGATTACCATTTGGCAAGTGAGGTCATCCCTGCTGCAAAGCACCTTGGAGCATGAGTCACATCCTGACCTGTGAAGGAGGGGCTGAGTTTACTCACTGAGATAAGGAGTTTTTCCAAGCAGATGCTCTGTGTGCATCTCCTGTTTCCACTCTTAGCCCTTAGCCAAAGGGTGCCCACAGGGTCACAACTTGCAGTAGAGATTCAAGGGTCTTTCTCTTTTTTTTTTATTTTAGTTCCCTGCCATCTCAAGGATGGTCTTAAGCAACCATCTCATCTTGATGTGACCTGCAGTCAGCTGTCAGATGGCAGCATTGCTCACTGATATGTGAATGGGAATTGAGTCAGAAACTCAGAAAGCAAAGGTTTAGCTTCCACAACCACTATATTTTAAGCCACCCAGTTCTCACAATCAAGTGAGCTATTTTACTTTATAAAATAATCATGTTATGAGTCAAAAAAATAAAATAAAATTTGTTTTAAAAGAAAATTAATTATTTTTGTCTAAGCAAAAACATAGACTCAGTCTTCTGGACATGAAAGGAGTCTAAATATACAGTCTAAACCAGCATTATAATCCAAAAGACCAAGCATGTACAACATGCAGTCACTTACCAAAGGGACTGAATATTTGCAAAATTGCATGCTCCTCTTGAGGAGGTCTCTGGGTAATAATTGGAAGGGAAGATAGAAAGAAATTCAGTATGATCTTTTATTTCTGAACATGGAATAATATTTAATATTCCCTGGCACAGGCTCTTCTATGCAAAGCCTTCAAGCTCTGAAATGCACTGCCCTCTACAGCGAGCTGTAAATCCTCCCAGTCATTCCTCACACTCCTGCAGGGCTGCACATCCACTGGCCAAACAGCAGCCACATTAGCAACCTGACACCTTAAACAAATTCAATGCTTGCTCTTTGGTTGGCTGATGGCAAAGAAGCAAGTTAAACTAGAAAGGTCAAGTGGAAATCTCTGAACAGAGTGAGCCATATTGCAGACACAAAGTAAAGCGAGCAATGAGTTCTCGAGCTATGTGAAAACTGGGTCAAAAGGGCCTGAAACAGAAACTGTTAGGCAAAGTGAGAAACCAAGGTTGTTATTTCAAAGGCGGTCCATGCGGCAATATCACTCTGTGGCCAGGATGTGCTTTGCTTTTGGCTCTGCTCAAGACTGCAGGCAGTTTTGAACTGTAAGCAGAGGTTGTATAAAGCAGATGCAAGCTGCATTGGGAGCAGAAGCCATGTGCAAAAACAAGGTGTGCAGGGAAAAGCAAAACCAACAATCCTGATAAAGGGAAGAAATTATATCACATGCTTTCACAGATTGGCAAGGATAGCATTGAAAACCTTCCACACTCACTAACAGGATACATAATCAGAAATTTTAACCTTTTAAAGATTTCATGCATATTGTCCTCTAAAGTCACAACGTGTAAGCTTCCAGCCTGTCTGCAACCATGACTAAACCTGCCTCAAAAGAAGAGCAATGAAACCAGAAGTGACTCCATCCTCCTCAAAGAAGGGTGCTAGCAGGACAGTGCTTGAAAGAATCCCTGTAACACCCTTTGGTAGGCATTTCAGAACTTACAAAGGTGGTGCTTTGTGATCCTGGGCAGCTTCTGGTCCTTCATTGCAATGTATTCAGAGCACACTACACTGAGCGTGGAAACAGGGAACCTTGAAAAAGAGATGCATGACAGGTGTGAACACTATGAAGACAACCCATCCTTTCCCTGGTGGAATGCAATCGGAAAAAGCATTCCAACCCAGGACTGCAGGAACTGGTGTAAGACAATAGCAGAATCCTGCACTGAAAAATTTACCTGGAAATTTGTACAGAAATACTAAGGGTACAGTGGTTTTACTAAAAGCCTTAGTTGGTTACCCCAAATTATCTGTCCTTACATCTTGGAAAAAAACAGCCAGCACTTGTGGACAGGGGGGCTGAAGTGACGTGCCACTGTAACAGCAGCTTCTTTTAAAGAGGATGAGCCAGGTCGAGTAGAGACCATAAGGGAAAGAATAACAAAGGTAATTCACATTCTGTCTTGCTTCCATAACACCTGAGCCCTGCACACAGAAAGGCTTCTGGGGCTCCTTCCTTTGCTCCTTGTATGCAGTGGAAATGCTGCTTTTATTGTATGCCACATCATTATGTTGCAGCTGGAGAAAGAAAAAAAAATAAGCCCTTTTTGTACTTGCCTATAAATGGTCAGGTCATGAAAGAAATAAATTGCAATAAATTATGAGGTCCTACTCAAACTGCAGCTCTCTGCAAGCACAGAGTACTCCCAGGTAAGCTTGCCCATTTATTTAATTTTCCTTTAATTAATTTTCTTTTTTTTTTCCTTTTGTAATTAAATATACTTTAGACATCTAAACAACCAATATGGAACAGCCTGGTTTTGAAAGCCAGCATGCTCTGTAACCGTGGCAAGTTCTCAGAGTCAGGCTGATGCTGCAAGGCATGAACTGCACATTTAAGTTACATAAGCAACTTTCACTAGAGAATATATAAAATGTCAAAATCTGGTACTATGCCTTATGTTCCTCTGTTTCAGAGTTTAAAAGTTTAAAAATGCTGCAAAACCACCAAAAGTTTTCAGTCACAAAGATGCATGCTTTGAGCTTTAGATATTTGAGAAGCCTTTTAAGGTGAAATTTGGTGATTTGAGAAGGTTTAAATGTTTGATATTTTTATTTAATTTATTCAATTTTAGCATTCCTGGAGTTTGGAAAGTTAGGTGTCCATCTGGATTCCACAGTTTTAAGATTTTTTTTTTTAATTCTGAGGTAAAATAACTTTCCTTGATATTCACAAATATGCAGTTTACAAATATAATCACATGTGCTTTCCTTTACCATGGACACATGATTGAACTGGCTGCCAGCAAAACAGGCTGCTAAATGCTGAGAAGGTTTGCAATCAGTCTGCAATGAAAAAATCGATACCCCCTCCACCAAAATTTACATGGCATAGTAAAGAGATAACATAATCATTGAGCAGAAAGCAACCACATAAAATAAATACAACAAATATTTGCTTATCCAGCCACTAAATAAGGAAAATATAACCTAGATTGAGTGAGACAAAAATGGAGAGTCCTTATTTTTCATATGATACAAACTATTAGCATACTCTTCCTTAAAAAGCCATGTGAACAAGTTGAAGTTACAGTGTGGTGGAAGGAGAGCACAAGCACACTCGTGCTGTGCCACATCATATTTGTTGTGTTTTAAAGGCAAGTTAGCTCATTTCTTGCAGCACTTGTGAAAGCAGGAGAAAAAATAGATGAGGGTGGGGCAAGAAGAGAATTTGAAATATAGAAACAGAGCAAACCCCCATTCTCTTCTTCAAGTTTCAAAGGCATCCTCATTTGCATTTCCATAACTGAAAATTGAAAGTGCATGTTTACTTCTACCCTTTCAGATGTGATATTGTACAAATTCAAAATGGGCCCACAGTCTGAAGAGACACAACCTGGAGTCCAAGTCACACCTGTACCAGCAGAACAAAACCTGTGCAGGGATACAGCAGCCAAGATCAGTACAAAGCAGCAGGTCAGCCCCTCGGCTTGGTCTGAGGTGCCTGTACTTCAGAGACTGTAAAAATTGAAAGCAGCAGGTTTTTAGGAAAGCACCAGCATTCTGTAGTGCTGCAGGTTAATGATATTCTGTTAAAGCCATATGGATCAGTGTCATGCAGACACCAAGGAGGAAGGAGAAGGGGACAGGATGATGAAGAAAACTGAGACAGGTGAGTGGGAAAGCTGAGGAAGAGAAGAAGGGTAGCTGCATCTCCACTGTTCTCTGTGGCTATTGCACAGAGTCAGGAGCTCATCCTGAAAATGGCAATTTAATATGCCCACACCCTAGGCCCAGATAGAAACACTGGTTCCAGTGTCTGTTCCCCACAGGGATTCCCCATCTGGCACAAGGTAAAGAGCAAATCAAGCTCCGGCTGAGCATCCCATAATGCAAAACTAATCCCTCGGATACTCCTTTGGACACCAGCCACCTTTTGTGCCTGATGCCAAATGATGGGTACTGCAGCATCAGCTCCTTACAGCCCTTCTCCTTGGCACAGAAAGACCCTGGGTGCAGGCTGTGCTGGGACGGTGCTGTGTGGGGAGGAGGCCAGCAGGCGCAGTTTTGCAGCCCACCTTGAACCAGGGACATATCCATGCAGAGACACCAGAGTCAGACAGCACTTCAGATCGGGTGAGGCACCCCTCTAAAATGGCTTCAGGTTATGTGCAAAACTTGGTCATCTTTTATGCAGGTGTATAAGAACAAGGAGAAGGAGATGGTCTGTGTGCTGGTTTTGGCTTAGGTAGTGTCCTCTTTCTTCACAGTGCCAGTATAAGGCTGGGTTTTGGATTTGTGATGAATACAGGGTTGACAACACAGGAATATTTTTGTTATTGCTACGCAGGCCTTAAACAGAGCCAAGGCCTTTGCTGCTCCTCACCCACACCATCAGTGAGGAGGCTGAGGGAAGGACAAAGGCACAAGGAATTGAGGGGACACAGCTGGGACAGATGACCCCAAATGATCCAAAGAATATCCCAGTCCTACACCTTATGGTGCCATGCTTAGCATGTAAAACTGGGGGTAGAAGAAGAAAAGGGAGGAAGTTCAGTCATGGCATTTGTCTTCCCAAGTCATCCTGAACACCTGGCTGCCTATGGGAAGCAATGAATGAATTCCTTGATTTGCTTTGCTTCTTTTACTTTCCCTATTAAACAGTCTTTATCTCAACCCATGTGTCCCATCCTGCTGTAAAAGGGGAGTTGGGGAGAATTCCTATTGATAGACTCTCAGATGAAAATAAAGCACAAAGGCAGCAATATTATATCTGAGAACTGTTTGTTGATAAAGAAGGGTAAGTGCTCCTACCGAAGCGGGACAGAAAAGCGAGCAGGGAGGAGAAAAGAGAGAGGGAGCGAGGAGCAGCAGGCGGGCACAGGTCGCTGCCGCGGCTCGCCCGCTCAGCATCAGCCGGGCAGACGGAGCGGGCAGCTGCGAGCGGCGGCCGAGCCCGCGCAGCTCCGGGAGCGGCCGGGCGCGGTTCCCGAGCGGGGCAGCCCCGTGTGCCCGCGGCGGGCCGGGCCGGGCCGGGCCGGGCTGCGCGGCACGGGGTGTCTGTCTGTCCTGCTCGGGAAGCGGCGGAGCCCGGCGAGACAGCGCGGACAGCGAGGGAGGGGCGCGGGGGGAGGAGGGCCGGGCTGAGCCTCCGGGCGAGCCCCTGATCCCTCCAAGAAACACAAAGCAAAATGGTCGTGTCGCAGTTCATTGCTTTGATGTGCTAAAGCTCCTCCCACAGCCCCATTTCCCAGGCGTTTTTTGCCAGGCACCCGGGCATCATCATCATCATCATCATCATCACCCCCAGCAAGCGGGGGTCGCTCGCAGCCGGACCGTGGAAGCTTCGTCTGGCCTGAGCGGCTGCCAGGCAAAGGCTCCCCGGGACAGGGCTCCCAACCCGTGTGCAGTCCTTACAGTAATGTTTCACCTCATATATACCACATCTTGAGGCATAAATAAAAATCAAATCGGTCCCTTTCAGGTATGTGAATTTATGATTTAGAAGCTACCACATAATGATACATAAATACTAATTAATGAATGGCAACCCTGCAAGGATTTTAGTTTGGTGCTTGTGTGTAGCTAAAACTGAATTAATTGGCTTTACATCCTGAACATGGAAGTTCAGCACATGCTTTTGTATGTGAATTGTCACCTTGAAATCACTGGGAACAGCTGTCAGTCGTGGGAACCTTCATGTCTGACATGGATCTGAAGCCCACTGCAGATATTTATATGGAGCATGATTTTTTTTAAATTGTTTGCTCTTATTGACTTTGATGGGATGATTTGCCCGAAGTCAGGTGAGTAATTTGTATGGATTTTGGATTTAGTCTTCTAAAGAAAGGAAAAGGGGAAGAAATTGAAACAGAGATTGTGCTAGGGATTACTCCTTCTTGCAATAGACACTTTTACCTGCCACAAAATGTATTGTCCATCCACAGTTACATCTGAAAAATGACAACAGAGAACTCAGAATGTGTTTTCCTGCATTTGAGAGCCTTTGTAGCAATGTGCAGTGACAGCAGGATGACTGCAGCTGATGAAAAATGATAAGATGTGATTATCAAGCTGCCTAACCAGCAAATTATTTCACTTGCTTGGGTTTAATTTTTTTTTCTTTTTGTACTCTAATGCTGGCACTGAGCTTTTGGTTCATGATAAAAAACCAATATATGGTCTTAATTATAGCTCATCATTTTAGTAATTTTGACTACTTTGCTACTTGAATCAGTGTAAGGATAGAGTCAAAATATCATCTATATCTTTTGTAATGGAGAACTGT